CCTCCCCAAAAACCAGTGCAAAGATTCTTCAAAAATTAGAAGGAGGACCCTGTGTGCCAGCAGTCCCGCTTTCGGCGGGCATATCCCACAGAACTGAACTCCAGGTCTCAGGAAGGATCTGCACACTCGTGTCCCTGCAGCATCATTCACAAACCAAGTCTCGGACACAGCCCCCGTGCCAGCCACCAAGCCAGGGCTGTTGCAGCACTGCTGAGTGTGGGGCAGTACCACTCGGAGCCCGTGAGCCGGCCCACAAGTGCCTTGTGGTGCACTTCAGTTCCGGGTTGGGCCTCTGGTGAGGTAACAACAGAGCAGGGTGTCACTTGCAACATGGGTGGCCCTGGACGACGGTGTGCTGGGTGAGACAAGTGCACTGCAGAAGGCTGGAGGCTGTGTGGAGCACGACGGTCAGAGGACCCCACGGTCGTTTGAGCGGGGGGTGCGCTCTGATTCAGAGAAGGGCAGATCAGCAGGGGAGAGGATCAGCGAGGGAACGGAATGAGCGCTGTCTCCCACACACCAAGGGAAGGTGGCACGGGTGGCAGGAGGTGTGCAGGCCACTGCTCAGCCCAGCAGAGCATGTGCAGGGCAGCTGCAGGGACAGGTGTGGCAGAGATCACGGTCCTCCCGACCAGCTGTGAGAAGACTGCCCGGCATGGCCTGGGGTTCTGGGGTTGGGGAACGCCCAAGGACCTACAGTGAGTCTGAGCTGCCTGGCCCACAGGACCATTCCTGCTGCTTTGCCCCGCCAGACTTAGTCTAGACCTGAACTCAATTCCACACCCTCTCTGACAGTGACAATCCTGACATCAAATCCAGAGCACAGCATGCCTCTCCCAGCTGCAGCCAACACCTGGGAGGGAGTCAGGTGGGGTGGCTCCTGCCACATGGGCCACCCTGCTGCCAACCACGGGTGGCCTCCAGCAGGACTGAGTTCTCCTCTCCGGTGACCTTGTGCAGCCACCCCTTGCTCCGACCGCTGAGACACACGTGGATCTGAGTTTCATACATCCACCCACAAAACAACCCTTCTGCAGCCCACATTCACTCGACAGAGTCACACTGTCTTCCGGCTCTCAGGCATTCCCGTCAGTGTCTCCCGGTCCTCCTGGGTGTGGCTGCACAGTCCGCCCCCCTCTTCCCAGCATGCTGAACACCACGCTCGCACCAGGGAGAGGCTGACACCTCAGGAGGCTCGGTGCATCCCCATGGGTCAGAAGGACCGGCCCCTCAAGAGCATGCTATAAGGGAAGCTGTTCCTGTGGCCAGAAGACAGCAGGCAGCATGAGCACGTCCTGGCTCCAAGAAGGGGAGGCAAGGGACTGGCCACGGCAGAAGGGTCAAGGGCTGTGTGCTTGCTTTTGTAACAGCCCACTTACTGGGCACAGATGCACTCGGCCAGGCTGGCCGTGGGACTCGCATCTGCCCTTCTCCTGACCAGCCATGAGCCAGCCTCTCCCGACAGGCCCCACATCCAAAGGCCCAGAGCCGCTCTGCTGGGTCAGAACCCAGCGTCCCACTCAGGACCTCGGGGACAGCCCACAGCCATGCCAGGGCCCCCTCTCCCCTGCTCCCCAGCTGCACTTGTTGCCCCCAGCACACATGTGTCCTGCTACAGCCTCTGGGGAGGAGCACACGTCCTTGAGGACACCGAGTGTCACCATCTCTGGGTCCTCTGCACAGTGCCTGCCACAGTGAATGTGCCCAGTGTGTGCGGCACCGCAGAGATTCCGGCCTTTGGAACCAGCCCGGCTGGCCTCTGAGTGGCCATGGGCCTGCCCCTCACCAGCCTCTGACTTGTCTTCCAGCCACAAAGGGGAGAGGATCGCCACCTACATGGCTGTCCTCAGGGGACACAGCCACGCCCAGCTTGCCGCACAGGCTGCACAGGTGTCTGGGCTGGCGCTGTTCGGGCCGCTGTGTCTGGAGGCAAAGCTCCGTGGAGAGCCTGGGTTGGCACTGGGCCCTGTGCCTGTGCCTCGGGCTCCTGCGCAGAAGGAGGCTTCCCAAGCAGAGCCGGCATTTCCCTGACAACCATCCAGAAAAATCTCAGTGGTGCCAAGCTGTCTGAGATCTGCTGCCTGCAGCCGTCTCCTTCCAGATACCCGGCCCTTCACAGATGGGCTCGCGGACCCACGCCTGGTGATCGCTTGCTGGCACGCAGGAGGCCGAAACTTCTCTCCAGCCAAGGCCTCGAGCAGCAGGCCGGAACCCAGTACAGGGAGGTGGTGGTGGCTGTGACAAGTGCCCAGGCCCAGAGCAGGGGCTGGGAGGCACCTCAAGCACTGGGCTGGGCCAGTGTGACACCTGCTGCGCCGCCACGTGGCACCCTGCCTTCCCCCTTCCTTTGTCCTGGCAGCGCCTGGTGTTGTGGGCCCTGGAGAAGGAGCAACCACCTGGTGCCTGCTTGGAGGACAGCTGGGCACAGTCCTGACAGACAGTCCCCGCAGTCCCATCCGAGCAGCCCAGCAGGGCTCCGGTGCAGATTCTCTGTTCAGCCTCCTGAGCATATGTGGGACAGCTCCTCCTTCAACCAGCCACTCCCCACCCTCCTCATCTCCAGCGCAGGAGAGGCACAGGGGGCACAGGTGGCTCTGGCAGCCTGTGACCAACACGGCTGGCTGCTCTGAAATCCATACCAGTCCCCATGGCTACCCAGAAGCCCTTCCCAAGGGACTCAGTCACAGGAGAGACCATGCCCACAGGGACAGACCCTGCTGGGACTCGGAGTGGCAAGAAGCCCAGTTAACAACGCCGCTGCTCTCCTCCCCCAGTTGCATGCTGCCCAGGCTGGGGTCCTGTCCATGGCAGCTGGCTACAGGGAAGGATGGGGCAGGCACTGCTCCTGAATGTCCCAGGCCAGGGACAGGCCCTTGGGAGCCGTCTGCCTCTCAGAGTTGTCTTGGGTCTATAAAGAGCACAGCAGGTTGGTGGTGAGGGCAAGCGATGATTCCGCAGACCAATGGGACAGCTCAGCTGTACAGAGTCTGGCCAGGGGCCCAGTGGAGCTCTCCTGCTTGTCTGACTCCAACAAGCCCCAGGCCATGGGTCAGCACAGGCCTTCTCACTGCTGTGTCCCCGTCAACCGTGGCTCTGTCTCTTCCATAAGCCAGGAGCTCCCAGAAGGCTATGGGGAGAACCCAAGGCAGCTCTGGCTTTGCACACTGCGCTGGGCAACTGAGGGCCCCTCTGTGACTTCTCTGAGCCTCAGCTTCTTCTCCAGGAGTCAAAGCATCATCATAGTAGGACCTCAGCCCTGGTTATGGAGGCCCCTGGGGAGGTGGTGGGCATACCCACGCGCAGTGACAATGGCAGTGCTAACCATGAATCCGTTGTTGCTAAATTGTCGTGTGTATGTGTATGTGTGAGAGATCTGGTGTCTACAATGCATCCTTCATGGGTTTCTAGGGTCACCAGTCCAGACCTTACCACTGCCCTGGGCCAGTGCTGGGGCGACACAGCAAGGGCACCCCATCATTTGCCCTGGTGACCAGGAGAACAGCTACCCCTGGCCTGGAGCTGAACCGCCACCTTCCCACGCAACAGCTCTTTCCTGTACACCTGGGCTGCAGAGATTTTTCTGGCGAGTAGACTCAGTAACGGACAGCACAAGCAAAGCCCCTATGCCCGCGCCACGAACCTTCTGTGAGGAGGCGGGGCCGAGGGCACAGCCCAGCCTCTGTCCCTGCTGGGGTGGCCCCTTCCCTGCCTGGCCCTCTCTGACTCCAGAACCATCCCGGGCACACAGCTGCAGAGCTTGCAGCATCCAAGCGGAAAGGATGCCTTTCCCAGCATCCGGGCCCGTCTCCCGCTTCACTGCCTCTGACCCTCCGCCTGTGCCCTGCTCCCCGCTCCCAGCCGGCTTCTCTCCTGGGGTCCACCGCCAGCACAGCACTGCGCTCTGTGGCGGCCTCCCCAACGTCGCCCCAGCCCCAGCCAGCCCTGTGCGGCCATCGCAGCACCCAAGGTTTGCTTCGGATGGGCACTCGACACAGGCTCCACCTGCACGGGCTCCTCCTGGTGCCCGGGGTCTCTTCCACCTCCAGCCCCCTGAGTGAAACCTTTCCCTCTGGCAGAGCAGCTCATCTTCCCGGGTCCCCACTGAGGTGGCGCTTCCCTCCCAAAGCTGTCATGACTCCGGAGTGCCGGGACCTGGGTCTGCTGCCCCCTGCAGGCCCGATGCAGCATGCCTGCCAGCCAGGCTGCCAGTTAGCACTGAGCTCAAGGTCAGGAAAGGTGCCCAAACGTGACAGGCAGGCAGTGCTAGGACAAAGCCCAGCACTGTCTGCTGCCAGCCAGTGTCCAGCGCATGGCACAGTAGGACTCCTCTGTTTCCACACAGCAACCTCTGCCCTCCCGTCTCAGCACTCCTTCCCGAAGCGTGACCTCCGCCCCTGGCACTGTGGCCACCACTGCATGGCAGAGGAAACAGCAGTTGTGTTGCCAAACGCACTCTAGTTTTTAGGGCAGGACGTGGCCCCAGAGGAGACTGTATATGACTCCCTGTGGGAACCCCAGTTGTCCACTCACACACCAGCCAAGGAACAGGCACAGCCATCCTGGTGCCAGCCCCAGAAAAGTAGATCCGGCCTGCCACACCGTGCACGGCCAGCAGCCCGCAGACGGGGGGGGGGGGTCTCCCCACACAGCCGGCTTCCCTGCTTCTGCACTGATGGAGCCCCAGGCAGGGACAAGGCCCCAGCCAGTGCCCCGGCACCCATTACCTCCAGCTCCAGGACTTTGGGACAGACAGAAGGGAAGAAGGGAGGGAGGGAGAGCCCTTGTGAGCGGCAGCCACAGGTCCCCGGGGGAACACACTGCTCGACCCACCGCCTGGCACAGAGCTGGGAGAGCCCACCCTCTCACCAGGCTGAGGGGAGCACAGGTACCAGCCACCTTCACCCCAAACTGCTGACCAAGAGAGTCGCTTGGGTGGCCTGGGCGAGGACTGGGCCAAATCGAGCTCCCTGTCACACTCAGGCTCCTGGTTTCATGAATTGAGCCAGGGAAATGAACTGCAGACCAAAAATGTCACCCACACTGCTTCTCGTTCCTCGGCTGTGTTAAAGAAGATTGGCTGACAGATGATAGATAGATAGATGATAGATGATAGATATAGAAATAATAGAGATGATAGGTAAATAGATGATAGATAGTGGATGATGATAGATAGACCGACAGGCACACGACAGGCAGGGGGCAGGGATGCAGCTGCACACTGCGATCCCCGTGCACCATGCCGGAACCATGCAGGCCTCTCTCTGAAGCACAGGAGTCCACAGCGTGGCTCCCTCCATCACCTGGAGAAGTGGCAGACCCTGACGCGGGCTCAGACAGTGGAAGAGGGAGAGCAGTCTTCGGGTCTGCTCTGCTTGCGTCTCCCGATTGCAGTGGTTAAGATCTCGAGTGTCTCTGAGCCCCCCGAGGGTGCAGGGTCCCCGCATGGTGGGGCCTCGCTTGCCCGGGAGGGAGGACACGCAGAGGGGGTGGGCTCTGTGCTGAGTCTCATGGCCGATGCCAGTTGTTGAGCATAATCCTCACCACTTGGCTCATTTCTGTCTGAGTCTCACTCTAGAGCCCCGGAGAGCACACAAGCCCGCTTCCCGCTTCCTCCCGCCCGCCCAAGGCGCCCCAGAGCTGATGTGGCGCCTGCTCTTCTCCCACCTCCAGGGCTCTGGAGGACTGAGGCACTAATGGCTGAGCCACTGAGTTGGGATGCCTGTACCTCTGCACCCGGGCCCCTGGGCTGGTGCTGGGTCCCTTGGGAGGACTTCTGGCTGCCAGCATATGCCTCCCACTTGCCAACTGGCCGCTGCCCTGGCGGTCCGCACCACTGCATACCCACTGCTTGTTCTTGTCCTCCTGCTTCCAACCACAGAAGGGCTCACCTGTCTGCATTTTGCTCAGTACTCTAGCAGAGTGAAGGTCAGTCGAGGTCAGGAGAGCTGCAGGTGGGGGGTTGCAGAGGAGCTGGCTTTAACCACACCTTGAAGAGGGGCACAATTCCCGACTCAGAAAAGGACCGGCCGATCTAGGCAAGGGTGGACCTGAGGTAGAAAGCCCATGAATCCCAGTCCAGGTGGGGCTGGTCCTCAGCCAGTGGGCAACCCAGATGCCCCACAAGGGACACTGAGCAAGACGCACTTACCTTCCAGGGAGTCAGCAGTGCAAAGCACATAGAGGCAGTGAGGCATCGCAGCCGTGGTGACGGGTGCTGAGGAACTGAACACAGCCAGGAAATGTGGAGGAGGCAGTGGGCCCTGAGGTGGCCGGCGGGGGGCCGCAGGTGGGGACACTTGATCACGGCCTGCAGGTCAGGAAGCAAGTGTTCTGGCCAAGGGACAGGAGGGCGGCAGCCCGAGCAGAAGGCTCCCCGTGAGCTGGAGCAGAGGACGGGGGAAGGGGCCAGGCGGGGCACACGTGCGTGCGGAGGGGGCGCGTTGGGTCACGTGCTAGAGCAAGAGGACAGTGCTGGGGTCTTGAGCAGAGAAGTAACCCCATCTTGCATGGCTTTGGGGACAGCAACCTGGGTAGGAGGACAAGGCAGGAGACCTGAGGATGCAGACTGACCTCAGGCGTGTGGCTCCTTTTGGCCTGTGTAGACTTGGGGATGTAGAGAACACCACAGTGTCTGAGGCCAGCCTCGGGGGGATAGGCCAAAGCAGACAAGGCTCACCCTCAGCTGAGGGAGGAGATGAGGCCAGTAAAGGAATGAACATAGGCAGAGAGACATCAAAGGCCAGAGAGCACTGTAAGCCGGTGTCATAGAGGGGGGAGCAGAGGCCCCGGGAGCCCGGGGAGCCAGGGACTGGACAGCAAGGGACCAGAGCCTCTGCTCATCAGGACAGATGAGGACAGCAACACCAGCTGTGCGTGTGACACTGAGCCACGTGTAGACAGCGCGGCCGGCAGCCATGAGGCTGGCCAGGCACCACTGCACACACGAGCCTCACAGCGCTTCTTCCGCCCTGGGCAGGGCCGATAGCAGAATTTGCATCCCGCTTGCTCAAAGGCAAAGGAGGAGAAAAGCGCCCTTGGGTACTAACACGCCACGGTTTTTCACTTTCTTCCACCATCTCCTGACTTGTTAGGGTGGGTTTTATTTGCTATTTAATGCCCCTGTAAGTTCAACCAATCAATCAGTCTAATTATTGTGGTATGAGCATGAGTTTTGCCATTTACTCTTACACTGTGCAATGTCAATTTGGGGAGTTCTGTGTGTTTTGTTTTGTTTGCGCTGGGAAGTGAACCCAGGACCTTATGCTGGCCGGGTAGGGCAAGGTCAGTTTTTAAATGCAGATATAAAAACCTTCGATCCGTAGGCAGAATTGGAATGCTGATGGAGCTGCAGCTCACGGGGCATGCCCAGGTGCGTCCCCTCCCGCTGAGCAGGAGTCCAGTGTCTCCCTCCTCCCCGGCGCACACTGCACCCAAAGTCCTGCAGCAGCCACCCACTGGGAAGGCCCGGGTGCAAAGCATTATGGGCCGCTCATCCTCGTCTTCCTTCCTGTGTCCTTGTTTCTAGCACAGGCTGTGGGAGTAGGAACCACAGGCCTGGGAGCACCTGCTTCCCTCTGAGCACAGTGGCGGCCTGTGGTATTGCAGTGAGACTGCTCAGCATGAGCCCAGCCCTGGGGCTGCCAGTGCTCCTGCTAGCCCACATGGTATACCCCTTGTCAGCTGACCACTGCTCCCGAGGCAGCCATCAGTCTCGAAGCCTATGTTCACAGAGGACATTAACAATTCAAGATGGTAGCCGGCCATGGTGGGAAACACTTGTAACCCTACAACTTGGGAGGCTGAGGCAGGAGCGTTGCCATGAATTCAAGGCCAGCCTGGGCTACATAGTGAGGCCAAGTGCAGCCTAAACTACATAGTGAGGTGATCCTGTCTCAAAGAAGAAAAGAAAGAGTTGAAGATGGTGACAGCAGGTGATGAGCCCAGCCTGAGGCCTTCTGAGGGCCCAGCTGCAGGGTCAGGCTGCCAAAGCCCACCTTGCCCCTCAGCAAGCACAGTGCTCGTCTCTACCTCAGCCTGTTCTCCCTTGTCAGCCCCCCACTGGCCTCAGGCCACAGCACTGCACGTGGTGTGCAGCAGGCATTTGTGGGGCTTTGCAGGATGGGTGCAGCTGCGAGGCCCCCTTCCGATGCTGCTGTGCTGACGCTGCCGAGCCAGGATGGACTTCCCTGAGACAAACACCCCCAGGGTGCGTTCCCTTCCTGCTGCGCAGACGCAGGACACAGGCGTGTAGGGAGGCGTGCAGGGAAACCTAGTAGCAGGTACAGTTAGGTGGGCAGCAGGAAGAGATGCGGCCAGGCAGGTGGACGCTAGAGGGACACAGGGCCGGCAGGGGACATGTGGAGGTGCCAGAGGCATTGGGACTTGCATTCAGGAACTCATGGAAGGCCCTGTGGGGACATGCGGGAGGAGCTGCCCCCTGTGGCCCGGAAGGAGCCTCAGATGCACACTGAGGATAATGTGTCTCCAAGAGAGGCCTTCCTGGGCCAGCAGCGAACACAAGGCAGTGCAGACCCCGGCTTCCTGTTCAGCCTGAGGAGAATCAGCTCCTGGTGCCTGCGGGAAGGTGACGAAAGCGGGGCCATCATGGGAAGTAAAATAAGCCAGATGTGGGAAGCTCAGTCACACTTCCCTTGTCCCCACTCCTGGGTGGAAACTAGGAAAAACAGGACCTGAGAGCCCAAGCAGGCCTGTGACAGAAGGGTGAGGGGACAGGGAGGGCAGAGGGCCAGCGTAGGACACAGGCATGTAGGGAGACGATGTGCATGCAGGGAAACCTAGTAACAGGTATAGTTAGGTGGGCAGCAGGAAGAGATGTAGCCAGGCAGGTGGGCACTAGGGGGACACAGGGCCAGCAGGGGACATGGGGATGACAGGGACAAAGGGCCGGCAGGGACACAAGGCCAGCAGGGGACATGGGGATGACAGGGACAAGGGGCCAGCCGGGACACAGGGCCAGCAGGGGACATGGGGATGACAGGGACAAGGGGCCAGCAGGGACACAGGGCCAGCAGGGGCACAGAGCTGGCAGGGGACACAGGGGCCATGGCCTAAGCAGCACTGTGTGGCAGAGGGGATAGAGTGCCCCATGAGGACACAAGGTGGGTGTGGGTGCCTGTGGAAACAGGCGGAACTCTGTCAGAAGCTGCGTAGTTCACCGCAAGTGGGTGTGCACGTCACCCAAGCCAGCAAATGGCCTCAGGTCTCGGAAACATCTAGAATTTCATGTGGCTCTGGCAGGGAGGCATTGAGATGAGTAATAAAAATAGCAGCTGAACACGAAGTGAACAGGTACTGCGTGCTGGGACCCTGCTCGTGGCGCTCATAACTCACTTCCCTTTGTGAGGCGAAGAGAGGAGAGTCAGCCGCTGGGGCAGCAGCACCTCTGGCAGCCCCCGAGACCCCACGCGGCCAACGTGTGGGCTGTACCGGTCCCCGAGCTGCTCAGTCACAAAATAGAAGTCATCAAAGAGCTTGGGGCCAAAGGCGAGCTCCGCGGGAGGTCCAGAGAAGGCCCAGAGGTGCGGCTGTCTGCCCACGAGCGCCCGGGAGTGAGCAAGCGTGCGAGAGGCCTGGGAGCTGGACTCACGGGTGGCCTCCGTGGCTGTGAGCCTGGGACAGAGCCAGGCAAAGTGGACCCTTGCCAGCCTGAGGAGGAGCGAAGCACTCTGGGAAGGAGAGGGGAGCCCCCCCCCCGACCTTCATTCACCCCCACCTTCCGTCACCCCATCACAGGACGGGCTGAACTGATGAGAACCACAGTATGCCCCTCCAATTTCACAAAAGTCCTCCAGAGGCGGTGGCCCTGGACAGCCAGGTAGGAGGGAGGGGACAGTCTGACAGATTTACCACAAAGCTCCATCAGCTTGGCATCACCCACAATTCGGGGGGGCAAATTCTCCTGTACCCTGATTCACGGCGAAGAAGCTGAGCCCAGGCAGGGACGCGGGTGCGGATTGGCCGGGGACCCGGGGCCGCCCCAGCCCTCTGGGCCTCGGCATCCCACCCGCCCTCCGGGGACGCAGGCCCGCAAGGGCGCCCGGAACGGTCTCCTCCACCCTGGAGACGCTCTTGCACGACGCTGGCGTACGCACTAGAGCTGCCTTCCGGGGCCCTGCCTGTCCCTGCCTGGTCCTCCACGCGGGCTGCCACATCGATGATGAGAAACACATGTTTCTGGGCAGTCACAAGGGAAAGGAAAGAAGAAGGCCGGAAGGAGGGAAGGGAGGCGGGCGCGCTGCGCTCGGCCGGCACAGTCGCCCGGAAGCGAGTGAGTCACGCGGCGGGCCTGCGGCCTCGGAATCCCTTCCTGCGCGCGGGGCTGCGCGCCCCTCCCGGGCCCCGGCGGGCGGCGTGCGCCGCGGCTGAGCCCCGGCGGTGAGAGGGGACCCTACGGCTCACACCCCTCCCGAGCAGGAGCAGAGCGCCCCCGCGCCCCCGTGGGCAGCACAGCCCCGCCTGGCATCTCCCCGCGGGGACAAGGTGGCCTCCGCAGGCGCCGTCCGGCTCTCCCTCAGTTCTCAGTTGCAGCCCGGAGCCGCAGCCCCGGCTCCCACGCAGGCAGCAGGGACTCCAGGAGCTGCGTGGACCAGAACGCCAGGCGAGCCGTGGTGCGGACCCAGACGGCACAGGAGCCGGGCCCGAGGGGCCGTGGGACGCAGGCTCAGGACGGGGACTCCGGAGTGCCCCACTCTCCCGAGCACTGGCCAGGTCGTGCACTTTGGAGACCAGGCCTGGTGGAGAGGAAGGGAGGCTCCCTCCTGCCAACAGGGGGCGCCTTCCTGATCCAGGCCCAAGGCGTGGTGACTGCTCCTGGGCACTTAGCGATCAGGTGACCTCGAGCAACACCCGGAGGAGTTGGGCCCTGGCACCCGGGTTACGGGAGAGGGATACCCGCACCTGCTAAGAAGCCTCCCGCACACACGCGGCAGCGCACGTGTCCCTGAAGGAGGAGTTCTGGGTGCAGGGCTGGCCGTGCTGTTCTCTGTGCTGCTCACCCCTCTAGCAGAGCACCAGGGAGGGGAAGGTGCCCCAGTCGGCATGCCCGATGGGGTCCAAGCAGCAGTAGGGCCCTCTGCATCTCGGCCCAGGGTCCCGCCACCCCTAGCAGCACTGGCTCCCCAGATAAACACGTCGCCACGGAGAGGAGAGCATCTCGGAAGGGAGGCTCCGGAAGAGCACTGCCCACCGTCCAGGGCTATACGGCCTCCTGAGCCTGGATGGAGGGGCAGGGTGGCATGGGAAGGCAGGACAGGCCGCACCGGCCCGTGGCTGAGCACTCTGAACCGCTCTGCAGCGGGTCTGTGCACCTGGACACGAAGCGCCCTGGCTTGTCCCTGGACAGGGAGGTGCAGAGACCCTGCTAGTCGGGCTGCAGAGGTGCCAGGATGTAGCACCCAGCGCACAGTGTGCCCGGCGGCCACGCAGCCTGCCGACGGCAGCCCACACTGTCAGCTAGGGCACTGTGCTCACATCGTGACATCCTGCACCCCAGTTCTTCCCGCTGCCACCGCAGGACCGTGAGACAGCCACGGCAGTGCAACCAGTGACCCGCAAGAAGGAGAACTACAGAGCTGCTGCAGACAGTGCTGGCAAGGGTGGGTGTGTGCGCTCAGCCAGGGAGGATTGTGAGGGGGACTCTTGCAAGCTGCCTTTTACTGCAATAATCTTATGCATGCACTCCCTGCGCTTGTGGGCTGAACCCCGTACCACCCAGGAGCGTCTGGCTGCGTCGTGTGGGAGTTAGTTCTACTTCTGGTTGTTTGAGGAGCCTGTGTACTGTGTCCCGTAGCGCCTGTCCCAATTTCCATGCCTACCACCACCAGTGAGAAAGCCCCCTTCTTATCACATCCTTGCCCGCACTTGCTATTTCCTGTGATTTTGATCAGAGCCGTTCTGACGGGATGATGGGGAACCTCCAGGAAGGTTTTCTGACTTGCATCTCCCTGCTGGCATGGGAAGCTGAGCCCCTTTTTCTACCGGACGCATGCACCTCGCGGCCACAGGACACTGCTCCCTGTGTCCCCAGCCCAGCACTGTAAAGACAGCTTCAGATTCACCCCACATGAGTTACAGGGCAGTTCCCGGGGGCAGGCAGCAGGCTGGCCAAGGCCGCCCACACGGCTCGTGAGGAGTCTGAAAGAGTCTCAGGCGGCTCAGTGCGAGCTGCACCAGTCGCCCCTCTCAACACCCCAGAGAGGTTGGCGCAGCTGCTGCTGCTGCTGCTGCATCCTTGCCCGTGGTTGCAGCTGGGTGAGCCAGGCCGGGATTCGTCCCCTCCAGAGCCTGGCCTGGGTGACGTCACCACACTCTGCGACTGCACAGCTCAAACATACCCTCAGTTGGCCTTGTCTTTCTGTGGCTCCCATCTGCAGATCAGCCCCCCACAGACCAGAAGTGTGCCCCAAACCATGCCTGTCCTAAGCACGTGCAGGGTTGTTCTTGTCGGTGTCCCCTGAACAGTTCCGAGTGGCTTTGGCATTGTGCTGGGGATTAGGGCCCATCTGGAGGCAATTTACGGCCTGCAGGCGGATGTGTGTGGGTTGTGTGCAAACTACTCCCTCAATTCACAGAACAGATGTGGGCCGACCAAGCTTGGTGCCTGATGGGTGCAGCCACCCGGTATCCACAGGGTCCTGACTAGCCTGTACTGCATGAGCGGGCACTTACTGTGTGCCGGACGCTGTGCTGGCTACCAGGGACATAGCGACAAACTGAGGTGTGCAGTCCTTGTCCTGGGCAGCCCCTGGCCCAAGAGGGAACCAGATGAAGCTGTCTTGTTCATTTCGGTCCGGGCTCCATCATGCAGCTGTGAGGGATCAGGCAGGAGGAGCTCTGGT